TGGCATCAAGATAACCGTCTAAGTGAATCTGACTCATTTTTGTTTCGTCAAATAATACTGATTCTCTGCAAAATAAAAGTGTATCCAGATAAATTGACTCAGTCGATTGTAAGTTGTTTGATAGATATTGGAAACGATTTACAGTATTTATATAACAAAGATAACATGGAATATTTTTTGAAATTAGTGGGTCTTTACACACAAAATGAACAAATTATGGAAGCAATTGTGAAATGTATATGTTCACAGTATTACATTGAAATGTTTCAATGGACTGAATGTGAAAATTTTCTATTGACATGTCCAACGTACTGGATAGCTTATAGAGGTCAGACAAGTATTTTCCACTGCAGTTGATCTGAAGTTTCGAATGTTTTTCAGGCCCGCATAGAGAAGAGATGGCCAATATGTTATTGGATAGTCTGTTAATATCTGTAGTTGATATACTGCAGCAAAAATACACTAAACAAAGGCAGAAACCTTTGATCTTATTGATTGATTTACTGAGTTATAGTCTTACACTGTGTGCCACAAGTAAATTTGAAAGTGATCATCTGATGAAAATGATCGATGGTTTATTATCGATACTAAGCGAACAAGCATTACTCGAAGAAAATCGACCAATGATCAAAAGTATTCTTCATTTGTTGTTAATTTTGATCAGCAATAATGAAATGATTTTGCATCGCATCAAAGAATTTCAGAAATTCTTTCTGACACTGATTGATATAGAAGATGAAGCATGCCTTATATTAGCTTTGTTGATGAATGATGATGAAATTAAAACTATAGTCAATAGCAAGGAGAACTTTAGTATGGTTTTACGGGAATATCTTTGACAACAAAATAATGAAGAAGATAGTCGAATTAAGACACTAATACAAAGGTTGAAAGGTAAGTAGACTTTGCTAACATATTTCATGTAGAATTTAATTAGTAAAAGAATAAAACAAAAAAATAAGCAGACAGAAACAGTGATACACTAAGAAAAAAGATTAGAAAATTCACAATCGAATAGAAACTATTGTTTCATTTTTAAATTAGCTAGCAAAACGTTAGCAAAAAATTAAAGTTTTCCTATCTTCTGTGTCTACAAGAGTTTAAGCATTTCCTAGTATTGATTTTTAACAGCCAAATTTAAGTCAGTAATAACTCAGTGTGTATAAACGACTTGTATAGTTTTCAGTTGTGTATTACAATTCTTTTATAATTCTTCGAATGTATTCTTTCTTAACAGCTACTTTGTAGGGTTTGTTCAACATCAGTAAATTGTTTTTCCCATAACACGAATCTTAACTTTATCACAGAACGATCCAAAACATTTGAAGCGATGACAACTTGTTAGAGCTGTTTTTATATTTGATGTTGTATCGCTATGTTAAGTTTTTTCATTATTGGGTATTTCATCTTATGAAAGTACCTGATCGATAAAGAACGAGGGAAACATGTCACCTAGGATAAGCTTTGCAACAGATCGTGATAGGAATAGAATACTTGAAACTTACTATAATTCTTCTACAGCACACTTGATCTGAATAGATGAACTAGCAGTCTATAATATACCTAAAAACACTAATATTCATTGAGGATGTATCCAAAGATTCAAAGTAAACTTCTATATAAAACTGGAAAACTATCAAATCTAGCTGTTTGGAGATGGATATATGCAATTATTTATGTTTCGTCTTTATTCAAACATATCAAAAGTACGGGTGTACAATACTAGTGAACGACTATTAGTGAACTGATATTGAACAGTAGGCCATCAAAGTCTCAGCATCGTTGTATGCGTACCAAGATCATCGCTAATCACTATTTAGAATCGAATTAAGTGATTACATTCTACAGAATTTTGTGTCTGAAAGAAGTATTTCTAGCCATAAACAATCTATTCATACATAATTAAGATACTCAATAATGAGAAAAAATGATAAAAAAATAAAAAAACGATCCTGACATTTTTTTTTCATATTCGAACGATAAAGATCACTTTCCAGAAAATATTCAATACCAAAGCACAAACAAGAAAAGAGGTTATTGATTTCATTGATGAGCCTTCTAGTGGAAAATTATAGTAGAAACAGAAATACTATATGATTTGCTCATTCTTCTATCGGCCAAAATATGATGGAATTGCTGACATATAAATCATCTTCATGTTCTGATTAATCAATAATTTTTCTCTTACCTATAGTTGTACTGGAACTCTCAGTTAATGAAGAAGAAACAATAACTCAACGTGCAGTTCCAACTACACTTTCACTTCAATCAATCATTGTATCCAATGAAAATACGAACAAAGAAGAAGTAGTATTAATTTGGTACGATAAAAACATTGGGATATACAATGACACAAAAAAAACTATCGAATTACTTCAACAAATAAACGATTATGTTTCAATTTGTTCGAATCGCGAGACATGCATTGAATATATTAGACAAATTCAAACAGAAAAAATCTTTCTTATTCTATCAGGTTCTAGTGCACACGATATTCTAGATGAAATACATGATCATCAACAAATTGATTCGATTTTTATTTTTTGTATGAAACGTGAAAAGTATGAGACATATTTAAATAACAACAAATATTATAAAGTCGTTGGAATCTATACGAAACATGAACCATTATTGACTGCTCTACAAGAAAATATTCGTTATTTAATAAAACAAACAGAAGCAGCAGGTTTATTTGATCAAGATGAACGATCAATGAGAAATTTAAATCGAGAATTATATACATTTAATTGTTTTTTTGCATTCAAACAAGTTCTTTTAAAAACTGATTACAATAGCGATGCAGCAAAACGTGAAATGATTGAAATATGTCGGAATTATTATCGTAACAATAAAAAAGAACTAATGAATATTGATGAATTTGAACGAACATATCAATCACAGGATGCAATCTATTGGTATACTAAACAAACATTTCTCTATCGTTTAGTAAATAAAGCATTACGAACTGAAGACTATGAAGCAATGTTGGTGCTTCGGTTTTTTATCCTTGATTTATGCGAAAATCTTCGACAAAAGTATGAAGAATTAAAACAACATTCACACATTGTTATATCCTATCGTGGATTAAAATTAACACCACAAGAGATTTATAATCTTAAACAGAATGTAGATGAAACAATAGTAACAAATGGATTTCTATCGACTAGCAGATCAAAAGATGTTGCTTATGCATTTGCAAAGAAAGGTACAAAACGTTCGAATGTTGAAACAGTTATGCTGGAAATTGATGTGGATATGTCAAAAGTAACAGTAATTCTAGCTGATATTGCTCAATATAGTGATTATCCAGAAGAACAGGAGATTCTCTTCGATTCAGGTGCATCATTTACTATAAATTCAGTACTTTATGATATGATAGAGAAGATATGGGTTGTTAAATTGACAGCTAAGGCAGAAGAGTCATGGATTAGTGATATACAAACATTCCTGAACGAATATAGTTCAGAAAGAGATATGAACATATTGTTGGGTAAACTATTGTATAGAATGGAAAAGTACAGCGTATGTCGAAAATATTTCAAAAACCTTATCAATATCTATGGAAATGAAGAACACGAAAAATTAGCTAAAATTTATGATTATATTGGAAGATCGTCCCATTGGCTGGAAGATCGTGACGAAGCTATTGTTAATTGTGAAAAAGCATTTGAGTATTATGTTTTTATAAATCGTTTGGAAGATGCTGCCATGATAACAAGTTTGATTGCTACTCAGTATAAGATTAAAGATGATAAAGTGAATGGACGACTTTATCTCATGAAATCATACGATATGTGGAAGGAAACGCCGACATATTATTCAGAAAATCCTCATTGTGGCATAGGTCGTATAATGATATTGTTTGGCTTATTTGAAGAAGATAATCTAATAAAACGTGATTATTTCTTAAAAGCTTTGAAAATATATGAAAATCCATCTAACACGTGTGAACATAGCGATCACGATGAAGAGATTGCAATAGTGTGTGACCTTATAGCAAGTATATATTATGAAGATAACGATTATGACAAAGCATTCGAGTATATTATGAAAAGTATCAATATTCTAGGAAAAAAAATGGTGTCAGCTCGAACTCGTAAATACTACGTTCAATGTCTCAACCTGTTATGGAGCATTTGTGACAAAACCTATAACGATCTTTGGTCGACATATAAAAACCAGTTCGATCAGTTATTCGATATTGAACTTGTTCAATTAGATCCTGACCTCAAAGACCTGTTCGACAGTACAATTGATCTACGAAGAATACATCTTGACACTAGAGATGCTGATAGTAGAGTATCAGCTGAGTTTTTACAACATTCATTGAAATTATTGAAATTTCTTCTAAAATCCGATCCAAAGAATTATGAGAAAATTATCCAAGCACATATGGACATTGGTCTAGCTTATGAGAAAACAAAAGATTATGATTGGTCATGTCAACACTATGAAAAAGCTTTAGAAATGTGTCAAACATACGCTCCAAATAATTCAAAACAGATTTCAACAATTTTTAAACATTTAAGTCATATAAGTTTGGATAGAAATAATTTTGATCATGCTATTAATCTTCGAATGAAATCGCTTAGTGTGAACGAAAAAACATATCATCTAACAGAGAAAGAAAACGAAGCTCAATGTTATTATGATATTGATCAGAAATTCCTATCTATTGATCCTGACAAAGTACTTGAATTTATTCAAAAATCATTAGAAATTCGACAACAAATTTTACCAGAACATCACGTCAACATTGCCTTTTGCCATCATGATATTGGTGTTGCTTACGAGAAGAAAGATATGTTTGATGCAGCACTAGAACATTACGAAAAAGCTATTGAAATATATGAAAAACATTTATTTGATAAAGAAGAATATCAATTTAATGTCAAGAAGGCGTACAGTCGGTGTTGTTCTAATATTGCTAAAATTTATTGTCATCAAAGAAAATATGATAATGCATTTACTTATAGAATGAAAACATCAAGTATTGACGAAAAGTACTGTGACTTAAGCGAAAAAGAAAAGGAAGCACAATGTTACTTTGACATTGCTAAAGAGTTATATGGGACAGATCCTAATAAAGAACTTGAGTTTACTGTAAAGTCATTACAAATTCGACAAGAAATTTTACCAAGAGACCACATCACCATTGGTTTTTGTTATCATGAAATTGGTGCAGTTTACGAAAAAAAAGTCATACTTGACATAGCATTAGAACATTACAAAAAAGCAATTGAGATTTATGAAAAACATTTATTTGATAAAGAAGAATATCAATTTAACGTCAAAAAATGTAACGATATATGTCATACTAATGTTTGTATAATTTATTGTCGTCAAAGAAAATATGATGATGCATTCGTATATAGAATGAAAGCATTATGTGTTGACGACAAGAAATGTCATTTAACTGAAAAAGAAAAAGAAGCACACTGTTACTTTGACATTGGTAATGAGTTATGTTGCACAGATCCTGATAAAGCACTTGAATTTATTCTTAAATCATTAGATATTCGACAACAAGTGTTACCAAGAGACCACATCACCATTGGTTTTTGTCATCAAAATGTTGGTGCAAGTTACGAAAAAAAAATGTATATTTGACACGGCAGTGGAACATTACAAAAAAGCAATTGAAATATATAAAAAGCATTTATTGGATAAAGAAGAATATGAATTTAATGTTCTACAGCTTTATGGACAATGTCATAACGGTTTAGCTATATGTTATGCTAGTATCGAAAAAGGTAAAAATGTTAATGCAATTGATTATACGTTAAAAGCATTACAAATTTTTCAACAATATTCTCCAGAAAATAAAATCGATGTTGCCCGATGTTATTGGAATTATGGTTATATCTCATGGATGAAAGGACAATACAATGAAGCAATTGAACAACTATATAAATCATTAGACATAGTATTATATCAAAACACAATTGATGTAGGACGTTCCTACCATCTTTTAGGTGTTTGCTATTACGAAAAATTCGCATATCAACAAGCATTATCATTTTTTGAAAGGGCCTTGAAAAACTACGAACAATTTTTACGAAATCTAAACGATGAAAATGCCGGACTACTATTATATTATACATCTTTATGTTTATTCAAATTGAATAACTACAATCAAGCTCTAGAATATGCAATCAAATCAAATCAAGTTCGGGATGAAATATTTTCATCGATACATGTGCAAAGAGCAGCATCACATAGTATATTAGCATTAATATATGCAAAATTACGACAAAAAGAAAAATCTAATCAACATCGTATTGAAGCTTTAGAAATATCGAAACAGTTAATTTCAAAGAATGAAAAAGTCACAAACATTGGCAGTATATTTGAGAATATTGGTGAACTGTATAAGAATCGAAATAATCAACGGCAAGCTCGAAAATATTATAAAAAAGCACTACAATATACAAAGCAAGAGAAAGTGGATGATCATCCAGATATTGAACGTATTCAAAAAATTATTGATAGTTTATCAACAAACTAAACAAATGTATAAATAATGCCATGGAAAAATATCTGTCATAAGTATAAAATTATCTGAATTACCAACGTATTTATTCTATGCTAGAATTTTGAAATCCTACTAATTAACATAATCTACTATAGTTTTGGGGAAAGAACTTTTCTAGATGGAATTGTAATTTTTTTTAATTTCCGACAACAAAAGAATAAAAATATTGAGTCAGCATTGCCGTCTCTTGTTTATGTCGATCCTTTATAAAATTCGAATGTAGCTTTTAAATAACTACTTTTTCATATTTATCATATAGCCTTGCTTCGGACTAGGGTGTGCGATGGGTGTTTGAGTGGATATGAGCATATCCTACACCTACATCCACACCCACCCACACCCACTCACACTCACACCCACACCCACCCACACCCACACCCACCCACACCCACACCCACCCACACCCACACCCACCCACACCCACCCACACCCACCCACACCCACACCCACACCCACACACCCACACCCACACCCACGCCCACCACCCACCCACACACACCCACACCATCATACAAATCAATCATCCTAGACTGCCTCAATATCAAAATTATACTGTCAAATCTACCATTTAAAATCTTCATTTCTATTGCGCGTTCCCAAACCAATAGGACATCGGCCCGAATTAAGCTCAACTTTGAACTCTTTCCCTTGATTTACCCTAACAAAGTCGTTTTTCCTGGAAATTCTCTATCGAATGGTATATAATAGTTGGGGTTTTAGTTGACTATGATAGGAAAAGTCTTTTACGAAAGTTGCGATGGGTCCATTTTTCCACAGAAAGCTATAGGGAATAATGGGTATTTTTGCAATAACTCAGGAACGGCTCGGTCATTCCTTCTCATATTTTTCTCTCGACTGAGATATTGTCAAGACTAAGCTGTGTAGAAAGTTTCATTGCAATCTGACTCTGCTGTGAAAAATTATCATGTAAACAGCCAACCAGACGGTCGGACACACTGACTATTCTATATTGTACTCACTATTTGAGTACACAAAAGTATGATTCGGTTCAAAACTAATATCAGATTGAGAATCAGCGTAAAAAACTGAGTCGATTTATGTATTTTGTGAATAATTATGAGCAAAATATTTTTTTTCGAAAAATCCCCGTACCCTTCCCCCCTCAGGGATGGTCTGGTCAAAAATCACAATTTTTTCGATAACTCAGTCATTTCTTGACGGATCCTTCTCATCTTCTTCTCTCGACCGAGATATTGTAAAGCCTACGCTATGTGAAAAATTTCATCGCAATCTGACTCTCCTTTCAAAAGTTATCGTGTAAACGGACGGTCGGACGTACGGACACACTGACCGATTCTAGAGTGTACTCACTTTTTGAGTACACAATAAAAAATGTTATGAAATCAGTCGTGTATCCAAGATATCTAAACGAAATAGATGTGTCTGTATATAAATTTGTTCTGTTTTGTTTTCAAGCTAATCCTCTACTATATGAAAATAAAACAATCATTGTCCCTTTTCTTTTCTATGTATTATGTCATTCAATTTATATCCGCTAACATAATCATTATATATCAGAAACCACTGACACCTCAACCATCCATGGTTGTACAAGATAATAATATAAAAGTTTATGTTGATTGGACACTCGTTTGTAATTCCGATTCATTTGAACAATCATTTGCTACATTTGTTGGATTATATTGTTTGTTCGATTTGAAATTTTATGTGCATCGTACTGCAATACGATTTCTATATGTATATTTCTTAAATGATAAACAACAACAATCAAATACCATTAGAAGATTTTGCAAAGAATATAATATTGAACTTCAACACAACTTTTCACCATCCGCTAATTCACTTGAAGAAATATCGAATAATAATACATCAAATTTCGATGAACCGCAACATACAATTCTTACGGAACAAAACAACAATGAAATTGTATCTGATCAATTTTCAATAGCAGTCTCAAATCCTCGACCGACAACTCGTCCAAATAATTGCGAAAGAAAAGCAGCTGAATTAATTGATTCCGCTAATAGCGGTGAAAAAAATACTTCACCAACAAAAAAAACCAGATCGA